TCAGCTCCAGCTTTGAAGATTCCAAAGTCGCGAAAAATATAAAGTGCGGCAGAACTAAAGTAACAGCTTTGGTGCGGAATGTAATAGGTAAATCCCAATTTGATTTTATCATTCAGCAAATGCGCAAAAAACATTTTTCCATATGTGCGGATGAGAGTACAGATTGCTCGACAACAAAACTTTTGAGCCTCGTAGTAAGAACAGAATACAACGAAAAAATAAGTGATTTCTTTTTGGCCTGTATAGATGTGATGAAATCTGATGCCGCGGGCATATATAAAGAAAAGATAGACAGTCTATCATATGCGTACATATCAGGGATGTTGCGAATGTGGAATTTTAGACATCCGCAGATTTAGACATCCGATTAAGCGGTGACTGTCTGTCCGTCCGTCCGTCTGTGCACACGATAACTCGAGTACAAATTGAGATATCTTAACGAAACTTGGTATGTATACTTCTTTTGAGCCTAGGACGGATGGTGTTGAAAATGGACAAAATCGGACGATAACCACGCCTACCTCCCATATAACGGAAATACGAAATACGAAAACTGCGATAGTTTAGTAACTACTGAAGCTTACTCACTCAAAATTGTACAATCATTTTTAAACAAAAAATAAGAATATTATAAATTTTTGGACAAATTGGCGCACGCTCACTTATGATTACATGTGTATATCTTGGGAACCGCTCCACCAATTTCTCCCAAACTTGGCACAGTTGTTGGCCTTCACAAAATATACCAAACGGCTGAAAATTTAAAAAATCCCACATAACGGTAATTTAGAGAAATACGAAAGCTTCTATAAATAAGTAAATACTGAAGCTAATTTATTCAAAATTTATTTTTGCAATAATTCTTTAGCAAAAAATAGGCTTATAATAAAAGGTTGGAAAATGGACGTGACCCCGCCACATACATGTGTATCTCGGTAACCGCTCGATCAATGTGTACCAAACTCGGTATGATTATTGTGGTTGTCCCATAAAGGCAAAACGTTGAAAGTTATTGAAATCTGACTAAAATTTCGACCACCTTTTTATAACGCTAATTTTACCCAAAATTGATACTAACCACAATCCCTTGAAAAGTAACATTATTATGGAATTTTGGAAAATGGGCGTGATGCCGCCCACATATATTTATATAAGTTTATCTCATTATGTCTAACTGAACATTCCATCGAAGATGTTTGAAATAGACGTAAAACAACCACTGCTTACCATGTAGCGGTAGTTTTCGGAAAGGTGAAAAACTATATTGAATACTTCCGCCGTGTATTTAATGTTCGGCTTCGCCCGAACTTACACTTTTTTACTTGTTAAAAAATAATTTAGGTGAGTAAATTAGGTGATTTAGTTAAATAAAAAATGGGAAGATTAGTAAGTTTTAATAATTTTTTTTTAGTACTTGAATTTAAAAATTGGAACATTGTATTCAATAAAATGTTTTTAAATCAAACCTGTGCCACTAAATAACTACTCGCTCGCTGCGAAAAACTTGAAACTTGACAAAATTGTAAATTCTTTTCAATTGACGCTGCACCAGTCGAGAGGACTTTAAGTTGTATTTATTTGTTTTTTTTTTTTGCGGTGCAATAATTCTTTTTTGGGAATTGCTTCGGTCTGTCGTATGTATCCTCCTGACTTTCATCTTCACAATCTAGTATCATGGCAAGATCTTAGATTAAACACCGTTGTTTTCCAAAGAATTCTTCATTGTCATTCTTTTGGTTGTTTCTGAATGTGGAGAACCAGTAACGTTAACAGCGTTTTTCGGTTTTAGTTCTTGTAATTAATTGTTGATCCTTTCTTCTGTGACTAGCCAGATATACGTTTTATCATTGCACTTGCATAATATTCCAGGGACCGGAAATAACAGTTATTTTTTTACCGGTTAAACTTGGCCTAATATTTTTTATTCCGAAAGTTTTTCTGGATAATAAACAAACAGCTTATCAAAATTAAACAAACTTGGTATCATGTGAAAGAGGACTGCAATACCTTTTATACAAAAATAACGTACGAAAGTTACCACCTCTATTTACATATTATATCATTTAATACTAAAGAAATTCATATACCTGACCCAAAGTTTGTTCTATGGTAATTAATTAACATTTTTTATTGAAATATTTTTCAATAGGTGACTTTGCTGGTTTAGACATTTCGGTTTTAAAGCTATTTAAGTCCTCTTTCATTTGATACCAAACTTGTTTCATTTGGATAAGCGGTTTGTTTATTGTCCGGAAAGGACTTTTAGTTGGGAATAAAAAATAGTTGACCAAGTTTAACTCGTAAAGAAATTAGCTGTTACTTTCGGTCCCTTCAATATTCGCATTCGCAAAAGATCCGCATTGATTATTGCGAATGCGAAAGCGAATGCGAATATTAAAATTAATGCGGAAGCTCCGCGGTTGCGAATGCGAATGCGAATATTCGCAACAACCCTGGTACATATCGCACACCTAGATCTAAAGTGCCACTAAACAATTTGTTTGCATACATCAATTCATAGCACTTACATCCAATTAATGGAAATATTTTTTTTCATGATTATATAGCATTTTCAGTTTAAAGAAACGATTTGCAATTTAAGTGAACCCTTTTTCAAATTAAATGAAACCTTTTTCAGGTAAAGCGAAACCATTTTCAAATTAAATTAAACCTTTTTCATAATCAATGAAACTTTATTCAAACTAAATGAAACTTTTTTCAAATTAAATGAAACATTCTTAAATTAAGTATTAAACATTATTGAGTTTAGGAACAGAAAATCAACTTAACCTATTAAGAGCCATTTGCACCATGTCTAGCTAACACTTACCTCTAGTTACACATCGTTATCGACGCCATGCTTATAGCATTTTCAGTTTAAATTAAATCATTTTCAAATTAAGTGAAACCTTTTTCAAATTAAATGAAGCGTTTTTCAGGTTAAGCGAAATTATTTTCAAATTAAATGAAACCTTTTTCAGATTCAATG